CTCGACCGCGCAGTTGACCACGTGCGTGATGGAGAGTGCTTCGAGCAGGGGCCTCGGAGACACGGCGGTGCCAGCCCAGACGCGCAGATACAAGGAAGACAATGACCGGATTGCAACGGGCCATGCACGCTCGAATAACCCATGAATGGCGAGTATCCGCAGACCCCCGCTTGCGGGGGGGTGGAAAGGCGTGAGAGACATTTGACTGTCCCCATCCCCCTTTCCAACCCCCAGGGTTCCAAAATCCCATTCTGAAGGGGTGGTGGTTGGGGGTACGACCTCGTCAACACACCCTGGGGAATCTCCGGAGCCTCCAAGGGGCCCCAAGACGGCCCAAGAAAACCCAAACAGACCGCGGAGACAGTCCAAGCGAGCGTCGATACACCCCAGGGTGACCCCTCGACGGTTCAAGATGGCTTGAAACAGCGGCCCACGAGGCCCCAACAATGCCCCCAAAACGGCACAAGAGTGCTGCCAGAGAACCGCTGAGCGGGCCCCAAGACGCAACAATCGTCACACTTTCTTGCGACGACGTATGTTTTCGACATATACTTTCGACAGCATAATGTACGACCCAAAGGGCCGCCATGGTCGTCCCAGTATGCGCCATGAGGCACCCACGAGGGCCCTCAGACAACCCGATAAAGCCCCAACTAAGCCACAAGACGACCCAAAATAGCCCTAAGAGGCGCCCAAGAGGGGCGGTACGAACTAACATCTCGAGTCATGCTTGCACTGATGACTCAAGAGCCCCTGCTCGAGGCACCCCCAATAGGTCCCCAGAAGACAATCAAATGCTCCCCAGAGCCGTCCAAGACGCCCCTGATAGGCCTTCCCCGAAACTTTGGGATGCATCCCCGAAACTCCTGACCCACAGGCCTGGCACGATGGTACGACTCTTGACGAATTCGCTGTTGTCCGTATGTGGGTCGGCGGAATGGCGCAAGCCTCTTGAACAACCCAGGGATGGCGGGTATGGAAGCCAGGCTCTCCCAACGCAATGAGAAGTTTCTGGACGGAGTCGCTTTCACCCCCCAGCCACCCGAGAAGGACAATAAATGTAAAGTGTCGCCCGCAATCACTGATAGATCGTGTCGTGTGGATTACCGGACCGACTCGGCGACGATGGGAGACACACGTATCGTCATCGAACCGTAAGGATCGTTCAGGGCGCTGGAGACAAATCAAATGCCTCCTTCCCTTACAAAAGCATCTGCAAAACCACTGGCAAAACATCGACCGTCATGTGAATGTGGATCGGCAACCGTTCCTTCGCCATGACTTGACGCGACGGGTAGCGCGGACAACATCGGGGCACGCACGTATTCTCTGAATGGCGGTTGCAGAAATACCCTGCTCGGGGACGAACGCACCGCAAAATCACCGACACACGCGCGCGCGCATCTGCCACCGTACCCTTGGGCACAAGGTGGGCGTGTCTTCAGGTCCTTTGCCGAATCCTCCAAGCCTTCATCCTAACTACTCCTGAAAAGTTTGAAAAGCCTAGAACCCAAATTGCCGAATCGACAGGGGCTTCTCGCGCGCCCCCCGGGGTCTGGCGCATCTTCTTGCGTGGCTTCGTCGGGCCCAAGAGGGCCCCGAAACTGGTCGACAGGGCCTCGAAAGGCCCTCGAAACAGCGCAAGCGGGCCCCGAGTCGCCAAAAAAATCGCTCCAAGATGGGGAAGATGGCCCGATGACGGTCCAAGCAGCCTCCACGAAGGCGCACGAGACCTACAAGAAAACCTTCCAGAAAAGCAAAAATTCGATAACAATGCAACCAACCTTCAGGTGATAAGGAGGTCGGGGGGGTCAACTGCTGACAAATGCGAAGGGTGAAAGGATGGCGATGCTGGTGACGCGCCCTAGAGATGGCGGCGACGCGCCATGGCGATATTGCGCTGCGATGCAACGTCACTATCGTCGGGATCGATGCGATCACTCCCGCGGCGCTTCGGCTCTTGCTCGGAATGCGCCGAGACGCAGGCAGCTCGTCTCACGGCACTTCGGCGCCCACCTTCTCTTGCGCGCTGGCGCAAGGCGCGCTCGCTTGGAGGAGCTCCCTGCGACGGACAACGTGAAACTGGATGCGCTGGACCTCTGCCCCCGCGCCTTGCGGCGGCACCCTGAAGCAGGCCGTGACCGCCCAAGGTGCTTGACTGGACCTTGTGGGGCGCGTTTCTTTATGTTCGGCGATGACGGGCGTCATGGAGCGGGGGCGAGGGGGGGGTATGACGTAACGCCCCCCCCCGCCGTGTGGTTCCCGCACCGCAGCCGCGCCCGCGCGCGCGACGCGACGAGCGACGAGCGACGAGCGACGACGACGACGACGACGACGACGACGCGAGCAGCATGTAGGTGGCGATATGCCCCACTGCGCCTGTGTACACCAGAGCGCTCGCGTGCACCACAGCCCGCGTGTATACCACAGCGCCTGCGTACACCGAAACAACCGTGTGCAACGCAGCGCCCGTGTACACCACAGTGCTTGCGTACACTACAGCGCCGGTGTACATGTGTACACCGCAGCTACCATGTGCAACACAGCGCCTGTGTACACCACAATGATTGCGTGCACCGCATCGCCCGTGCGCGCCACAGCGTGCGTCTACACCACAGCATCCGCGTGCAACGCAGCGCTGGTGTACACCACAATGCCTGCGTGCATAGGACATGTAGAAGGAGCATGCACGTGAGGATCTGCTGCGGACAACCAGGCGCCACGCCAGGACAGTGCTGATAATCGAATGCGACGTTATTCCCTCCTCCCTCCTTCTCCACCTCCACCACCTCCTCCTCCTCCTCCTCCTCATTATCCTCCTCAGTATCCTCCTCCTCCTCCTCCTCCTCCTCCTGCTCTTCCTCCTCCTCCTCCTCCTCCTCCCCCTCTTCCTACTTACCCCCTGTCGTGCGGGTTGGCGCTACAACGCACGTGCGCATCTCACCGCGCACCGCAGAATGGTCTATTGAATCGGTCCACTTGGTTCTCGGACGGCAAATTTAGCTGGAACCTCCTGGACGTGGATGGGAGGAGTTAGGGTGATGCGGGCGGATTCGGGAAAACTTGTAGATTCCAGCGCCGCTCCGTTATCCAGAAGGATTATTTTCTATATGTTCAATGGAATCCACGAGCGCTCCATTTTGTCACAAGGATTCGTTTTAACATTCTATATATATATACAACACTGGTGCTGTGTTGCACAAGGTTGCTGTGGTGCACACAGGCACCGTGGTGTTCACGGGCAGTGCGATGCACGCAGGCATTGTGGTGTACACTGGTGCTGTGTTGCACACGGCTGATGTGGTGTACGCAAGGGCTGTGGTGTGCACAGAGAGCTGTGTTGCCCGCAGGCACGGTGGCACAAACTCACACTGACGTTGTGTTGCACGCGGCTGCTGTGGTGTACATAGGAAGTGTGGTGTACACGGGCGCTGTGGTGCACGCAAGCACTGTGGTGTACACAGGCGTTGTGGTGCAAATCGCCACTTACATGCTGGCGCTACCCGTCCTCCGTCATTTCTACGCATTCCCAGACGCCACCGGCGCGAAACATGACGACATCGACCCCCTCCACCCCCCCCGTTAGATGATTGCCGTCATCGGCCCGGAATAAACAACAGCCTTCAGCCGCGTCCGCGCGCACGACGACTATGAGCGACGAGCGACAAGCCACGAGCGACGACGACGACGACGACTGCGGACCAGATTCTTATGCGGATCCCAAAACGCACGGCGGCAGTGCCCAGAGCGCACTGGGGGGGGAGCGTTACGTCATAGGGCCATGACGCCCGTCATGCCCCAAGCAATAGACAAACGGGTTCGTGTGCTGATGGCGGGCAAGCCCGAACTCCAGCGGTTTGTCGGAGTACCCATCCACATTCACGAGCACATTGTGCTCCACGTCATGGTCGCCGACGGTGCTCTGAGTGGCATTCGTCAGCTGCCCCTCCACCTGCGCAACCCTCGGCACCATGCCCAGAACGTCGAAAAACTGCTGGCCCGATATGGCGAAGCTGGGGGCGAGCTCCACAGACCCCGCTCTCGAGCCAGAGGAACAATGGAAATGCCGCGCCAACCTGCGCGACCCCCCGCGCTCGGCCGCGCTGGCAGACCCTGGCGGCAGACCGCCGGCAGCTCCTGGCGGCGAGAGAGCACCAGCGAGGAGGCGCACGTCACCCGCGCCGCCCGCAGACATGGCGATGCGGCGGAAGAAAAGGTCGCGCGTCTGGCTTGATTTGGCCACGCAGCTCCAATTGCAATGGTCGCTGCGGCCGCGACGCTGGTCGCGCCGGGCGCGGCGGCTGCAGCGCGATAAGCGGCGGCTCGAAAAAAAACTGCGGCAACCCACTGAACCGATCTCAAAGTCGAGCGAGGTCGATGTCACGATCGAACTCACCATCGATAACATCATTATTCTCACAAGGTCGATCGCGGTCGATCGATAGCACTCGAAACCATGATCGATTCCCCTTGTTTCTTCTCTTAAAACAGCAAGTAGGACCCCCCCCGGGTTCGCGGGCGCCCATTTTAAATGCGCATTCGCAGCGACCCTGGCAGGCTGGGCATCGCCCCCCCCCTCATCCATTGGAAAAAAAATCACGCGCGCGCGTTCGCGTGATCACCAGACACCAACTTTCAACAGTCCCCTGCAAGAAACGCGTCGAAACGCACGCGCGCGCGTGGTCGCGCGCGCGTGCCGGAATCCTTCAACAACCTCCGATTTCGCAAGGATTTCAAAACCGAAGGTCACGAACACAAGCACAAACATGGTTTCGCAATACTTGTTTCAAACCAAACCAACAAAAACACCCGCGCTTCCATGGGGCGTCTCGCGCGCGCGAGTGCCGAAATCACGCGAGCACCCTTGCGCGCGCGCTGTCGCAATAATCCCTCGCAACGAGCCGGGCGGAACGCGCGCGCGCGCGCCGTCGCGCGCGCGTGCCGAAATCCATCGATAACCCCAGGGTGTCGCGCGGATGTCAAATCGAGTGCCCCGAGAACATGCGCACGTACGCGCTGCTGCAACATGATGCCTTAAATAAAAAACGGCTGTCGCGGCCTTGCGGGTTCTTCGGAATGGCGCGGGCTTTCCAATTTTATGAAGTTCCGCCAGACGGGCCTCTCGCGCCGCGTGTCAAACTCATTCGAACGCCTTTGCGCGCGTGCTAGGGGGGCGGGGGGGCGCGATCCGCTTCAACGAACGCCGCGTGGGCCACTCGCGCGCGCCGGCCGCGCGCGCGCGTTGACTCCCTCTTCGAAACCTTCGTCGCCGACGCGAAGGCGTCATCGTCGTCGTCGGCGGGCGCGATCGACGTCGGCGCTGCCATTGCCGCGTGGGTTTTTTGCAAACCACGTCGCGGGCGGGCGGGCGGGGCGCTTGCTGGGGCGCGGAACGCATCAACTCATTTGTAAAATTCAGCCAAACAAGATTCAGATCCGCCCCTCCCCCCCATGGGGGTTAATGGGTCATCTTTTCGCATTGCAATTTACGCGCGCTTTGCCTTGTCGTCCGCTCTGTATTTAGATCCAGGCCCATGCCGGGCAGGCCGGACTTCGACCCGCGCCCCTCTTCCTCCGCCCAAAATGTCACGCGCGCACTCGCGCGCCAACAAGAATCAGTTTTGACGACTTCCTGGCAGGAGTTGGCACGAAACGCACGCGCGCGCGTCGTCGCGCTCGCGCCGAAGTCCTCCACCAACCCAAAAGCCTCAAGGTTCGCAAGGATGAATCACGAACACGCATACAAACACATGGTTTCGCGGCGAGAATATTCAAAAACAGAGAAACTGCCTCGCGCTCTTGCGAGTTCTTCGGGTAATGATTAATATTTCGGCGCGTTCGCGGGGCGCTGCCAGGCGGGTCTTTCGCGCGCGCGCGTCGAAGTCGTTCGAGCGCCCTTTCGCGCGAGGTGTCGTGGGAATCCCTTGCGACGGATGGGGCGAAATCCACGCGCGCGCGTCGTCGCGCGCGCGCCGAAATCCTGCGACAACCTTCGGCTGCGCGCGGATGTCAAAACGAACGCCCCGGAAACGCGTCAAACCACATGGGTTTCAACATTCGTTTTCTACAACAAATCCATAACAATAGGGGGGCACATGAACCTACCCCGCTATTGACCACCCTCGCTTCCAAGAGATGCCGAGCGACGCTAAACTACGGCCTGCGCTGCTCAGGCCGTTTGACGAGGAGGCGCGTGGCATGGCTTGGTTTTGCCTGGAAGCGAAAGCGGAGTAGGTACTTCACGCTCTGAAGCAACCTGCGCCCGCGGTCCTGCGGATTCTTAGGGGTACCATCGGCTTTCCACCATGCTCATCACAGTCTGCCAAACGGGCCTCTCGCGCTGCATGTCGAACTCATTCGAACGCCCTTGCGCGCGTGCTGGCGAGGGCGCGATCCGCGTCAAAGAACGCCGCGCGGGCCACTCGCGCGCGTGGACCGCGCGCGCGTGCTGAGCTCCTTCAAAAACCTGCATCGCCGACGCGAGGACGTCATCGTCGTCGGCGGGCGTGATCACCATCGGCGCTGGCATTGGCTGTGCCGTCGTCATCGCCACAATCGCCGCAATCATCGCTACTCTCATCATTGTGTCTACGGTTGTCGGCGTCGCCATGATACCGCGCCCGCCCAAGTCACACACTCGCACTGAAGCGCCCGCCGGGAAGTGCCCAGCGGAGAGCGCCTCCGCTGGTCGCTGCGCGCGCGAGCATGCGCGGGCTAGCGCAGCCGCAGAGATGTACCAGCCAACGCCAAGCACTCATCGCAATCGCGGCCGCGTGGGCTTTTGCGAACCAGGTTGCGGGTGGGTGGGTGGGATGTTCTCAAGGGCGTGGAATGTGTCAATTCTTTTGCAAACATCGAATCTCACAATAGATGCCACTATTGGTCTCGCTTGCGTTCCCACTGTCGATCGCACTACCGATACCAATATCAGTTTCTCTTTCGACCGTACCATCGATGTCGCAACCAACGCCACAATCACCTGCATGGCCAATCTGACATTCGACCGTAATTTCCGCCCCATTATAGCGAACTCCTTGTCGATCACAGAATCGACTTCACTACCGATACCCCGTGGCCACCGCCTGCCCACCGCCGACGAAATACCGACGGGACACCACGGCGGGACACTCCGGGCCATCGCGCGCCCACCGGGTGCGGAGGGGCAATCCACTGCATCCGCATCGCCCTAGCAACGGCGGGGTCATTACCCTCGAGCGGCCACGCAGCTTCAACTCGCCCGCACACGCGACACGAGCACGACACCAAAACCGATTTCCTGGTGGGGGGCTTTCCGTGCTACTGGGATCTCACCCCACAACCTCCGATGCTCCACTGTTTTTTGAAGGATTTTGGCGTTCTCGCCTTTTCGTTTCCGACGCTCCAAGACGGCGCAAAAGGTCCCAAATCCACCCCAAGACGACCCAAGAGGCCTCCAAGAGAGCCCCTAGACGGCCCAAAAGGCGCCCTAAGATGGCCCAGGAGGCGCCCAACACGGTCCAA